TGTGTGTGTGGTGTGTGTGTGTGGTGTGTGTGTGGTTGGTGTGTGGTGTGCGTGTGGTGTGTGGGTGTCTGGGGGTGTGTGTGTGGGGTGTGTGTGTGGTGGGTGTGTGGGGTGTGTGTGTGTGTGTGGTGGGTGTGGGGTGTGTGTGTTTGGTGGGTGTGGGGTGGGAGTGTGGTGTGTGTGGGGTGTGTGTATATGTGTTGGAAATGGGAGAAAGTAGGAACGAGATAGGTTAGATCTTCCAGAAAGGAAGTGAGAATTTGAGGATGTTCCTGGGAAGTCTCAAACAGTGGTTGTTTTAGGAAGGCCACTCTATTCAAACACCACACAGAGACACAAAGGATAGAAACTTATACTGACGGCTTTCTAAAGTGAAATAATATTCCAAATGCATGTTAGCACATGATGTGCTTTGTGGCAAGGTTACCAAACCATGCCTAAGGCCCACCAGCTCTTCGCTAATTCTATTCCTGGAAGGTCGGTGACACTCTACCCACTGCATTCTGTAACGTTCTCACCGTGAGAGCCAGTCTTCTCTAGACTGAGGGCGCCATTTACCCATAACCAGCCGACAAACCTCAAAGATCCAAGTCAACAGCAGCCCCATGCTGCTGTCCTCTACACAAATACACGCAGGGACGGAGACACAGCCACGCACCTGCAGAGTGCTGAGGAGCTCGTGGAGATGAACAATGCTCTGGACAACCTGCTGCCAAAGGACCAAAATGGAAACGTTCATTTCAGGACTTTATGAATCTCGGAATCCATCACACTAATCTTTATCTGGTAAGATGGCTGCTGTAAGACACAACTAAATGCCTGTATCTTTATGTAATATTTTCATATTGAAAGCACCAAAGAAAATAAGTCAGTACCAGCACTAAGAAAAACAAAAGACCAAGGCCGGGCGCGGTGGCTCAAGCCTGTAATCCCAGCACTTTGGGAGGCCGAGGCGGGTGGATCACGAGGTCAAGAGATCGAGACCATCCTGGTCAACATGGTGAAACCCCGTCTCTACTAAAAATACAAAAAAAATTAGCTGGGCATGGTGGCGCGTGCCTGTAATCCCAGCTACCCAGGAGGCTGAGGCAGGAGAATTGCCTGAACCCAGGAGGCGGAGGTTGCGGTGAGCCGAGATCGCGCCATTGCACTCCAGCCTGGGTAACAAGAGCGAAACTCCGTCTCAAAAAAAAAAAAGAAAAAGAAAAAGAAAAACAAAAGACAAACAAAAGACCAAACCAAGTGACCTAGGTGTAGGAGGAATATGAGCACAAGTTAAAATGTATGAGAAAGCTGCCATTATTTAAAATGTCTAGAACACAAACAGCATACATATCAATGCAACAGAAAAGAAATTCCAGAAACTACCCATTAGCGATTTAGCATATGAGTAGCATTTCAAATCAATGGAAAGAAAAGAATATTCATTTAATTGTTCTGAGAAAATTGGCTAAATTTCTGAAAAATCTTGAGACCTTACCTCACATTAAAAAAAAAAAAAGTTCAAATATCTGAAAATATTAAAGGTAAAAAATAAACCGTATTCACGTCCAGCCAGGGCAAGACAGCGAGATCCTATTTCTAAAAAACAAACAAAAAAGAGCTGAAGGAAATAGAACATTTTCTCATCTTGAAACAGGGAAGGCTTTGCAAACACAGAGGAAACCACATGATTTTTTTTTCAAAAACTCTATGTAAAAAAGTAAAATTAAAATTAAAAGGCAAAGAACGAATAGAAATTCAGATGTAAAAATCTTTGATTTAAAAAAGGCTCTCACAGAACATTATGAAAAAAAAAAATACCCTAGTAGAATATTAAGCCAGGAACACAAACTAGCAATTTACAAAAGAAATACCAATGGCCAATAAGCATAACATATTAAAATGACTCAACCTAATTTGAAATCAAATAAAAGCAAAATAAAATAAAGGACCCAAACTTATCAAACTAATAAAAACTTAATAAAAATAGTAACACTCAATGTTGGTAAAAGATGAAAATGGGCACTCGTATGTCTTACGAGTAGGGCCAAGCACGGCATAACCTCCTTTCAATAGCAATTTGGCATGTTCAGGAAATAATCAGAGAGCTGTGCAAAAAACAAGGCATGTACAAAGATGTTCTTGGCTCACCGCTTTAAAAGGAAAAAGTAAAAAAAACAGTTAACTATCAGAAAGATTAAGTAAACTATGGTTTACAATAATATGATGCTATGCAACAGCATGCTTTGTAAAATTATGCCTTGGGGAAATACCTTTAATGCATATTAAGAGGAAAAAAAGCAAGATATGAAGCTCTAGGAAGAATTGATACAAACTATGTAAAACTTTTTTTTTTTTTTGAGATGGAGTTTCACTCTTGTTGCCCAGGCTACAGTGCAGTGGTATGGTCTCTGCTCACTGCAACTTCTGCCTCCCGAGTTCAAGTGATTCTCTTGCCTCAGCCTCCCGAGTAGCTGGAATTACAGGTGTGCGCCACCACACCTGGCTAGTTTTTTGTATTTTCAGTAGAGATGGGGTTTCACCATGTTGCCAGGCTGCTCCTGAACCCCAGATCTCAGGTGATCCGCCTACCTCAGCCTCCCAAAGTGCTGGGATTACAGTCATAAGCCACTGCACCCCGCCAAGCTGTTTTTATACTATTCACAAATACACAACTCAGGCATGTTATGCACAAGGCTGGAAATAAAAACACCAAACATTTAACTATGAACATGTATTCCTTTTATAATACTTAAATCATTTAAAAACAAAACACAAAAATATTAATTACCAGGCTTAGCTCTTCTGAGAAAATGTTTTACCCCCATTCCTTTATTTTTTTTTGAGATGGAGTTTTGCTCTTGTTGCCCAGGCTGGAGTGCAGTGGCACAATCTCAACACTGCAATCTCTGCCGGGTTCAAGCGATTCTCCTGCCTCAGCCTCCTGAGTAGCTAGGATTACAGGCGTCCACTGCCATGTCTGGTTAATTTTTTGCATTTTTAGTAGAGACTGAGTTTCACCATGTTGGCCAGCCTGGTCTTGAACTCCTGAACTCAGGTGATCCACCCACTTTTGGCCTCCCAAAGCGTTGGGATTACAGATGTGAGCCACCACACGCAGCCCCTGCCCTTATTTTATTCTTAATAAACAGAGAGAAGCAACAGAAGAACCTGCTGACTCTAGCTAAGCATTTATAGTGTCTAATCCATACTGGAATGTCTGAGAAACAAACAGGTCTTGTACTATTTTCTTACCCTGATTCTTCTCATTAAATATGGGGGGGAAAGTGGCCATAAGGAAAAATCAAGGCTGGGCGCAGTGGCTCACGCAAGCAGCTTCCATAAGCTCAGGCTTGTCATTTAAAGGTAAGTACACTGAAGGATTCCTTCGGGACTCCACTGTATTTAGACCTTTGCAGCAACAAATATAAAACATATCATTCTGTATTTTAGGGGGAAAAAAGATTCCCCTTAATTTAAAATTTCAAAATGAAGTTCCTTGGAGATTTAAGATACTATGTTAAAAGCAAGAACAAGAAAAAGAAGAAACACAATCAACATCCTTGAGAAGTATACCCGGATTCTAGTTTGCTTAAAAAGTTACTCAGAATTAATTTTGGAGATGGCAGTAATCTGAAGACTTATGTCACAACAAGGAGTCACTGCGGGGTGGGGAATGGCCATCCTTCTAGAAGGACACCAACACTACTTCACACATGAAAACACATATTAAGTCTAAAGCAATACTCAAAGACGATGATACGGCCGGGCATGGTGGCTCATGCCTCTAATCCCAGCACTTTGGGACGCTGAGACAGGCAGATCACCTGAGGTCAGGAGTTCAAGACCAACCTGACCAACATGGAAAAACCCCGTCTCTACTAAAAATGCAAAAATTAGCCAGACGTGGTGGCGCGTGCCTGTAATCCCAGCTACTCGGGAAGCCGAGGCAGGAGAATCGCTTGAACCCAGAAGGTGGAGATTGTGGTGAGCCAAGATCGTGCCATTGCACTCCAGCCTGGGCAACAGCAGCAAAAAGCTGTCTCGTAAGGAGAAGAAGAAATAATTTGAGTACTTGAAGGATAAGCAATTACTCTGTCAAACTACCCACAAGTTAAATGCCCATGTTCCAGATCTATGGCTTTTGGTATCAGGTTTGTGACAGAGAAGAGGCTGCCATGAATTCTACTCAGGGTGCTTAGACCAAAGAAACCGCCAAGAAGGATTCACAAGGGGGCTCTCTCTAAATAGAGGAAGCTGACTAAAAGCAACAAGTGCCAGGTGTGGCTCATGTCTGCCATCCCAGCACCAGCACTTTGGGAGGCTGAGGCAGGTGGACTGCTTGTGTCAAGGAGTTTGAGACCAGCCTGGGCAACATGGCGAAACCCTGTCTCTACATAAAATACAAAAATTAGCAGGGCGTGGTGACATGCATGCCTATAGTCCCAGTTACTCTGGAGGATTGCTTCAGCCTGGGAGGTAGAGGTTGCAGTGAGCTGAAGTTGTGCCACCGCACTCTAGCCTGGGCGATAGAGTGAGACCACCTCAAAGAGGA